CTGGACAGACATGAAACCATAGTATCCCCTGCAATGAAGTTTTTAATTATTAATAAATGTTAAAAATAATTAATTTACGAACAACTTAAATCATCTGTAAACCGCGTAACGACGTAAACTACGACGAGGGGCGGTCGTCGTCGTCGTCACGGCGACCGCGTCACGGTCTTCTCACCTTACTGTGCGCGGGAATCTTGCCCTGACGCAGGATGACGATGGTTCCGTTGACGCTAACGTTCATGAGGCTGAGCTGGTCGTAGTCCTCACGACGGCCGTAGTTCACGTACACCAACTCTCCCTGCAGACATATATGTACGGGACATAATTATGTAGATATGTACGGGCATGAAAACAGGTTGAGATGTTTTTGGAAGAAATATTTCAATTCGTGCTTTCAATTTGCGTCGCACACGGTCCTACTAGGGGGGGGGGGGGGCTGAGGGCATGCCCCCAGAAAATGTTTGAAATTTGGAAGTGCAGATAGGCCATTTCCATGCATCCTCATTTCCTGGGGAAAATTGCAAGTCCATCCTGTTCTTAGTAAAAGAGAAATTTCATGACTAACAATTCAAAGTCTTGTTATTTTCTATGAAAATTTCAATGTTTTATATACACCGCGATATTTATCCGGAGTTCCGTTCGTTCTGTGTGAAATTTGACGTACCTTTCCTGACTTTTTATGTAGTTAAATATGTATCTATGCTATGTATAGTCAGCTACTAGACCCCCATCGTACCTACCTCACCGTCCGGCGGGTGAGTAGGCCATGGAACGGCTGCGTAGTGTTAAACATGTACTCATACATAGCTCTACCCATGCCAGATGAAGACGGGATACTAGCGAAGCGTTGCCGAAAGGAGGTGTTATCCCAAGCGCTATAGAGCGCAGATGTTCGCGCAATTCCGCGGCAAGGCGGCCACCGACCCGGAAACTCGCTACGACAGTAATGCAGCGCTGGCAGCTATGGATCCGTGCGCCGAATGCAATTGGCGGGCGCAACGGATCCATAGCTGCCAGCGAAACAGTCCGCATTTCGTGGGGACAGCACGAGGGTAGACATTTGGGACGTGACAGTGTTTACCTTTGTTATAAAACTGACCGAGTATCTTGTTCGTACCGAGCTGTGTCCACGCGAAATCACAGAAAGAAATGTGAAATTCTGACGTTCGGAACTCCTGCCCAGTATGGGAAAGCGGCTGTCCCAGATCAAGGAAACGCCTACCGCGCTCTCGCGCCAACTGCTGCAAAGCGAGGTTTTTGCAACGTTCCAATGGCGAGGCTCGTACGGAGTTGGAAAGCAGTGGCGCCGCCGGCCTCGCCGCCTATAGCCCGCATAGACTCTGGCACTCTCTCGGCACGCTCTCGGCTTAGCTTAGTCACCTCAAATGGCTAATCGAGGTGGGAGGCGGTCCTAGTCTATATACTAGCCTTTTGCACTCGAAAACCTCTTGAAACAGAGTAGGCCTATACTAGAAACTTAACAAATTTCTCGTAGTCAATAGATTTTCGTATTCTAAGTTTAGCATTGATATTTTATTGAAACGCTTCAAGTGCCTGTTGGTCTAGTATAGCCTAGGGTATTCTAAGCCCTAGCTAAAGAGCGTTTCTTGCTAAGTCGTAGTAGTCTAGTATATTAGTGGTTCAATGGAGAGAGAACATGGCTCCCAAGTATTATATGGGCCCGCAATGTATGGCAATGGGGACATAAAACCAATGGTCATTTACATGCATATAAATCTAATACTTATATCTAATCTAAAATAGGTTAGGGTCGTCATTATTATAAGTTACATTACAGTAACAGAGTTAGTCATTATTACTATACTATTACTATTAGGCTCGTGCGGCGCTCGGTAGTTACTAGTACTAGTACTCAGGTAAACTTAGTAGTAGCTATCTACTACTAGTAGTCAGTACCTAGTAGTAATTATTGTAAACATGTTATTTGAGTTAATAACAAGTATTGCTATGCCGTAGGTGTGGAAATGTAATAGCCCTAAATGTTGCCGCTAGTCTGAGTCTAAACAAACTGAACATCCATCAGCATCATAATGGCAAACATAAGAACATCAGATTTGGATGCTTATGCTCAAGTCATGCGGCAGTGGAAACGAGCGAGGGCTAGACGGCTACGCGACTTCACATCGCGCCGAACTATCGTTGGCTACACTGAAGTGAGTTACGCTAGCGTGTCGAACTGTGCCCACGGCGCCGCGCGGCCAGTCTAGGTGATGCAGCCCAAGGCGTTTTTTTTTTTAAAAACTTGAAATGCTACGTG